ACAGAACAGAACAGAACAGAATAGAACAGAACAGAGTAGAACAGAACAGAGTAGAGGTTGACACAGGAGTGAAAATTCATTCCTGTCCCGTCTTGTCCTGTCAATTCATTCCTCTCCCGTCTTGCCCTGTCAATTATTTTCCTCTCCTGCCCTGATCCTGCAACAGTTCTATAACTCCGGAACTTTCATGCACCTTCCCGATAAAAATCACTCCCGTCCGGTCCCGTGCTCATTTTTGCGTGCAGAAATATGTACACTATACGTATTCAAAATTATTTCAGTAATGCAATATGCGACTGTGAATATGTGGTTGTCTTACCTATATTAGTTAAATGCACTGACTGGCCGAAGTCTCTGTGGATAAGAGCGTATTCCAAATGACATAAATGTAGATGGATTAAGCTACAGGATGAGGACAGAGACCCCAGCAGGATGAGGACAGAGACCCCAGCAGGATGAGGACAGAGACCCCAGCAGGATGAGGACAGAGACCCCAGCAGGATGAGGACAGAGACCCCAGCAGGATGCTCAGCACCGCATAGATCTGTAGCCTACAGCTGAGCACTGCACACATAATATGAACATTTACATTTTCAACACATTAACATTTACAACATTTTTTTTTTTTTTACTGAGCGGCAGGACTGTATAAGTCAATCAAATGTTATTTCACTCTTCACCTCAGATGGCACGGTTTTCGTTAAATAAATAAACAATTTGGCTTGATGGTAAAGTTGTTGGGAGTAGAGCAGGCCACTTGTTCCTCTCTCCAGTTGGTAGACTATTTGATTAAACCGCAGCATTCTTTTCGAGCCCTGTACAAGCCCTGTACTCGGTTCCTTCATTGTCAAAGACAACACATTTAGCTAAAACACCACTCTTTCCATGTCTCCAATTAGTGTTGGGTACTTGGGTGCAACGAGACGTTGCAATTCCTCTACTGAAGGCTTCATCATTTAGCCTACTGATGTAGATTGCCATCTGAGGTAGCGTATAGTGACTGGCTACAACTGGAGCGAGGCGCAAATTGAGCCGACAGAGCTAACTAACTAGAGCACAGTAGAACAGAATAGAACAGAACAGAGCTAACTAGCTAGAACAGAACAGAACAGAGCTAACTAGCTAGAACAGAACAGAACAGAGATAACTAGCTAGAGCAGAGTAGAACAGAACAGAGCTAACTAGATAGAGCAGAGTAGAACAGAGCTAACTAGCTATAGCAGAGTAGAACAGAACAGATCTAACTAGCAAGAACAGAGTAGAACAGAACAGAGCTAACTAGATAGAGTAGATTAGAACAGAACAGAGCTAACTAGCTAGCTAGAACAGAACAGAACAGAGCTAACTAGCTAGAACAGAACAGAACAGAGCTAACTAGCTAGAACTGAACGGAACAGATTTAACTAGCTAAAACAGAACGGAACAGAGCTAACTAGCTAGAACAGATCAGAACAGAGCTAACTAGCTCGTCATGACGAGACCGCCTACAGGGAGGAGGTGTGGGCTCTGGGAGAGTGGTGCCAGGAAAATAACCTCTCACTCAACGTCAACAAAACAAAGGAGCTGATCGTGGACTTCAGGAAACAGCAGAGGGTGCACCCCCCTATCCACATCGATGGGACTGCAGTGGAGAAGGTGGAAAGCTTCAAGTTCCTTGGCGTACACATCACTGACAAACTGAAATGGTCCATCCACGCAGACAGTGTGGTGAAGAAGGCGCAACAGAACCTCTTCAACCTCAGGAGGCTGAAGAAATTTGGCTTGGCACCTAAAAACCTCACAAACTTTTACTGATGCACAATTGAGAGCATCCTGTCAGGCTGTATCACCGCCTTGTACGGCAACTGTACCGCCCGCAATCGCAGGGCTCTCCAGAGGGTGGTGCGGTCTGCCCAACGCATTACCGGGGGCAAACTACCCGCCCTCCAAGACACCTACAGCACCCGATGTCACATGAAGGCCAAAAAGATCATCAAGGACATCAACCACCCGAGCCACGGCCTGTTCACCCAGCTATCATCCAGAAGGCGAGGTCAGTACAGGTGCATCAAAGCTGGGACCGAGAGAATGAAAAACAGCTTCTATCTCAAGGCCATCAGACTGTTAAATAGCCATCACTAGCACATTAGAGGCTGCTGCTGCCTATTGAAATCACTGGCCACTTTAAGAAATGGAACACTAGTCACTTTAATAATGTTTCCATATCTTGCACTGCTCATCTCATATCTATATACTGCATTCTATTCTATAATATTCTACTGTATCTTAGTCCATGCCGCTCTGTCATTGCTTGTCCATATATGTATATATTCTTAAATTCCATTCCTTACTTAGATTTGTGTGTATTGGGTTATACGATATGTGAAAGTGTTAGATATTACTGCACTGTCGGAGCTAGAAGCACAAGCATTTCGCTACACCCGCAATAACATCTGCTAAAACACGTGTATCTATTTGATTAGATTAGCTAAAGCCAGCCTCGGTAGGCAATCAACAGCCTTTGATTGAAAGGGGGTTTGTTGTATTACCTGCACTGCTTGAGCTAAAGGGTTACAAGCTTTCGCTAAAACATGCAAGATTAAAGCTGTAACGTGTACTTTTATTAATTAGCTAAATCCAGCCTCGGTGGTGACAGCCTCGTAGCTTAACGTGCCTTTTGGCATCGTTGTGTTCACGAGTTATATGACGACACACATATTGATTCTGGCCCGTTTGTCCTGTTGCCAGTTTGGATTGTGGTGTGATATGTTTATGGTGTCTGGGTCTGGTTGTCCTGCAGCAGTTTGACTGTGGTGTTTAGTAGCGTGTATGGAGGAGGTGGGGTTTACGTGTCGTGTCTGTTGTTAGTTGCGCGCGTAGTTACCGTGCCTTGTTTGTGTGTGTGGGGCGTTGCGTACGTATGCGCGTGCGTGTGTGTGTGTGTGCGTGTGCGTGTTGTGTTTGCTGTGTGTGTGTGTGTGTGTGTGTGTGTGTGTGTGTGTGTGTGTGTGTGTGGTGTGTGGTGTGTGTGTGGTGTGGGTGTGTGTGTGTGTGTGTGTGTGTGTGTGCGTGCGCGTGTGCGTGCGCGTGTGTGTGTGTGCGCGTGCGTGCGTGCGTGCGTGTGTGTGTTTGTGTTCGTGTGTGTGTGTGTGCGTAACCTCTAACACTCAGCTTGAGGACAGAAGCTTAAGCATGCATCCCAAATGGTACCCTACTCCCCATATAGTGCACTTCTTTTGACCAAGACTCCTAGGCTGGTAGTGCACTACAAAGGGAAATAGGGTACCGTTTGGGATGCCTGCTTAAATCAATACCATCTCCTGTAGCTTCCTTTAGCCCACTTAAAGATGACAGAGATAATGCATTCAGTGTGTTTGTATCCCAAATGGCACCCTATTCCCTAGATAGGGCCCACTGGGCTCTGGTGGAAAGTAGTGCACTAGATAGGGAGTAGGGTGCCATTTGGGACCCACAGGTTCTGTGTATATTATGGATCACTGGCAAGCTGTGAGCTGTCATCCAACACAATGTTTTAGTGAGCTTTGTTTAGATTGGCAGTTAGACACACACAACACACACAAATACAAACACACACAAATACAAACACACACACAACACACACACACACAACACACACAAATACAAACACACACAAACACAAACACACACACACACACACCACACACACACAAACACAAATAAACACACACAAACACACACACACAAACACACACACACCAAACACACACACACACACACACACACACACAAACACACACACACACACACACACAAACACAAATAAACACACGCACACGCACACACCAAACACACACACACACACACACACCACAAACACAAATAAACACACACAAACCACACACCACAAACACACACACACAAAACACACACACACACACACACCACACCACAACACACCACACACACACACAACACACACACACACCCACAACACACACAATACAAACACACACACACAACACACACACACCACACAACACAAATAAAACACACCACACAAACACACACACACAAACACCAACACAAACACACACACAAACACACACACACACAACACACACACACACACACACAAACACACACACACCAACACACAAACAACAAAGAACCACACGCACACACAAAACACACACACACAAACAAAACACACACACACACACACACACACACACACACACACACACAAAACACACACACACACACAAACACAAAGAAAACACCACACAAACCACACACACACAAACACACACACCAAACACACACACACACAAAGAAACACACACAAACACCACACACCAACAAAAACACCACAACACACAAAGAAAACACACACAAAGTAAACACACACAAACACACACAAATAAACAACCACAAACACACACCAAATAAACACACACAAACACACACACACAACACACACACACACAAATAAACACACACAAATAAACACACACAAACACACAAATACAACCACACACACACACAAATAAACACACACACACACACACACACAAATACACACACACACACAAATACACACACACAAATACACACACACACAAACAAACAAACACATACACACACACACAAATACACACAAACATTCACACCTTTAAAACCAACCACTCACCAGGGGCATAACTTGCTACAATAGTTATTGCATGTTGAAAGACAGATATTTTCCCATAGATCAGGTAACTATAGTGTTTTGCCAGTATCGGTAATGTCGTCTATAGTGTTTTGCCAGTATCGGTAATGTCGTCTATAGTGTTTTGCCAGGACCGGTAATGTCGGCTATAGTGTTTTGCCAGGATCGGTAATGTCGTCTATAGTGTTTTGCCAGGATCGGTAATGTCGGCTATAGTGTTTTGCCAGGATCGGTAATGTCGTCTATAGTGTTTTGCCAGGATCGGTAATGTCGTCCATAGTGTTTTGCCAGGATCGGTAATGTCGTCTATAGTGTTTTGCCAGGACCGGTAATGTCGGCTATAGTGTTTTGCCAGGATCGGGTAATGTCGTCTATAGTGTTTTGCCAGGATCGGTAATGTCGTCCATAGTGTTTTGCCAGGATCAGGCTGCCCTTTCTCCAATCAGTTTGTATGCGAGATGGCTGGCACTGTTCCTCTACTAGTCCGTGGCACAGGTTATATTGACAATCGTGTAGCATTGTTTAGGGAGCTTTGTGTTTCCGACAGTGACTTCCTGTCCTGGCTGCCCATACAGTACCTCGGCTGAGTCTGAGTTAAGACGCGGAGATGGTTCGGGTCATTGGTTTCGAGTCGAATGTCTCCCAGCTCCTGTGCGCTCTGCACGAGATTGAACTTCACTCAACTTTCTCGAGTTTTTCCCCGTTAGTTAACACTATCAACGTTTCCCTTTACTGTGGGAATTGTGATTGAATCAATGCAATATTAGCCACTTTCAATGCAACATACCGAAACAAAACATGCAAGACTTAGTATGCATAACTAACTATGCAAGAGGTTTTGTTGTAGGCATAACGCATTGGAGTAGGATTCTATTGCATTGACAGGCATACTCTCTACACAGACCGGTGTGCTGTAACCAGTCAGCGCTGCAGTAGGCCTATATGCAAATAGACCATTGCCATATATGGATCTGTGCCATTCACTTTGAACTGGACTGTTTTTACAGCATGAGTAGCTTGATTGAGCCTCCGCCATATACAGGTCAACATTCACAAGGCCGCGGGGCCAGACGGATTACCAGGACATGTACTCCGAGCATGTGCTGACCAACTGGCACGTGTCTTCACTGACATTTTCAACCTCTCCCTGACCGAGTCTGTAATACCTACATGTTTCAAGCAAACCACCATAGTCCCTGTGCCCAAGAACACTAAGGTAACCTGCCTAAATGACTACCTCCCCGTAGCACTCAGGTCGGTAGCCATGAAGTGCTTTGAAAGGCTGTTTATGGCTCACATCAACACCATTATCCCAGAAACCCTAGACCCACTCTAATTTGCATACCGCCCCAACAGATCCACAGGCCCAAAAAATTGTCAAAGACTCCAGTCACCCAAGTCATAGACTGTTCTCTCTGCTACCGCACGGCAAGTGGTACCGGAGCGCCAAGTCTAGGACCAAAAGGCTCCTTAACAGCTTCTACCCCCAAGCCATAAGACTGCTGAACAATTAATCAAATGGCCACCATGAATGGTCACTGCTGCTATTTGCATTGACAAACCCCCTGCTACTTGCTGTTTGTTATCTATGTATAGTCACTTTACCCCTACCTACATGTACAAATTACCTCGACTAACCTGTACCCCCGCACATTGACTCGGTACCAGTACCCCCTTGTATATAGCCTTGTTATTGTTATTTTATTGTGTTATATAAAAAAAAAAATGTTTACTATAGTATATTTAGTCAATACTTTCTTAACTCTATTTTCTTTAAACTGCGTTGTTGGTTAAGGGCTTGTAAGTAAGCATTTCACGTTAAGGTCTACACCTGTTTTTGATTTCATTTTGTTCCAGAGGCCTCAGTGCCCGTTTTGAGGGAGGAAATATCCTCCTGTTTCCAGAAGCAGACAATCAAAGTGGTTCCTATGTCGAAGATCCAGGACGGCTGGTACAGCCGGTATTTCTTGGTTCCCGAAAAGGTCTGGGACTTTGCATCCCATTCTAGACCTACGTGCCCTCAGCAAGCACCACAGAGTCTACAATGCTCACGAGCCACCAGCTATTACAGCCAATTGGCTGGTGGTGGCGGAATCGAGGGGGTAAGCGGTGTTTCACACATCTGTCCTACTGTCCCGTATTCAGTCTCTAGGCGTCATAAGAAACCAGAAAAAAAGAGCTGTCTGACTCCATCTCAGCGCATTCCGTTTCTGGGTCACTCACTCGCGTGTTGCGTTTTTTTCTATCTCCACGGAGGGTGTCCAGGTGGGTCACACAGTGTCTACGCCTACTGGGGATGATGGCTTCTGTGATGGAAGTTGTTCCCGTGGGCTATTGTTGATGCGGGGCTTCCAGCGAGGAGCTGATTTTTCATTGGCAGGCGTGATTGTAGATCCTTCAACCAGAGTTGCGAGAGTTCAACTCCCCATAGTGTGTTGTACCTCATTTCCCTCCTTCAGGGAACAGTAGTATTTCGTATTATTTATTTTTTGTTGGTATTATTTCATATTCTGTTTCGTTTTGAACAACACTCTCTGTTTTCTTTTCCTTCCTTTTGGCTGTTGTTGAAACTGGGGTTACGTAGATAACAATAAACATTTTCCAGAACGTTCTTGTTTGGTTCTCATTTGGCTTGTGACATTGTGTTAATAGATGTATGTAGATTGAGTGGGAGTTGCTGATATAGGAGGACCAGTTTTGCCTTTTTAGATCACAATAAATAATATTACATGGACAGATAGGATCTAATCCAAGATCAGCACTACTACACTGAGGGGTTGATACATATGGCCCCTTGGTAATGAATCTCTTTCTTCAAATCAAATCAAATCAAATGTTATTGGCCACATGCGCCGAATACAACAGGTGCAGACATTACAGTGAAATGCTTACTTACAAGCCCTTAACCAACAGTGCATTTATTTTTAACAAAAAAGTAAAAATAAAACAACAACAAAAAAAGTGTTGAGAAAAAAAAGAGCAGAAGTAAAATAAAATAACAGTAGGGAGGCTATATATACAGGGGGGGGGGTACCGGTGCAGAGGTACTGGTTTCTAAGCCCGTTCACAGATTTGACGTCTTTGACAAGACAACATAAGATTCCGTAATGAGGTTTCCAAGACCGTAAAGCTGATGTGTTCAGTTCATTTCTGCTCTGCTCTGTCTTTAATGTCTGTATCCCAAATGGCACCCTATTCCTTATGTACATGTAGTGCACTGCTTTTGACTAGGGCCCATAGGGGTTTGGGACGCAGACTTTTTGGCCCATCTGTGATATATGACCTAATTAATATTCATAGATTTCCCCTCACACCCTGCTGTGATTGGCCTGCTGCTCATGCATATGCAACAGGTTGGGAAGAGCAGAGTGGAGCTATTAGTATAAAACTATCATCATATTCTCTCTCTCTTTCTCACTCTCTGTCTCTATTTCTCTCATTCTATTTCTCTCTCTCCTTTTATCTTTCTCTGTTTCTCTCTCTGTGTCTTTCTCTCTCTCTCTCTCTCTCTCTGTGTCTTTCTCTCTCTCGCTCTCTCTGTGTCTTTCTCTCTCTCTCTCTCGCTCTCTCTGTGTCTTTCTCTCTCTCTATCCCTCTCTCTCTCTCTCTCTCTCTCTCTCTCTCTTACTCTCTCTCTCTCTCTCTCTCTCTCTGTCTGTCTTTCTCTATCCCTCTCTCTCTCTAGTCAGTTCAATTTAAAGGGGCTTTATTGGCATGGGCAACATACACTACATGATCAAAAGTACATCTCATTCTAAAATCATGGGCATTAATACGGAGTTGGGCCCCCCTTTGCTGCTATAACAGCCTCCACTCTTCTGGGAAGGCTTCTACTAGATGTTGGAACATTGCTGCGGGACTTGCTTCCATTCAGCCACAAGAGCATTAGTGACGTCGGGCACTGATGTTGGGCGATTAGGCCTGGCTCGCAGTCTGCGTTCCAATTCGTCCCAAAGGTGTCGATGGGGTTGAGGTCAGGGCTCTGTGCAGGCCAGTCAAGTTCTTCCACACCGATCTCGACAAACCATTTCTGTATGGACCTCGCTTTGTGCACGGGGGCATTGTCATGCTGAAACAGGAAAGGGCCTTCCCCAAACTGTTGCCACAAAGTTAGAAGCACAGAATCGTCTAGAATGTCATTGTATGCTGTAGTGTTAAGATTTCCCTTCACTGGAACTAAGGGGCCCAATCCGAACCATGAAAAACAACCCCAGACCATTATTCCTCCTCCACCAAACTTTACAGTTGGCACTATGCATTGGGCAGGTAGCGTTCTCCTGGCATCCGCCAAACCCAGATTCGTCCGTTGGACTGCCAGATGGTGAAGCGTGATTCATCACTCCATAAAAGAAAAAACATGTTTTACCCATTTGGTAGTTACAGTCTTGTCTCATCGCTGCAACTCCCGTACGGACTCGGGAGAGGTGTAGGTCAAGAGCCATGCGTCCCCCGAAACATGACCCTGCAAAAGGCGCACTGCTTCTTCACACACTGCTCGCTTAACCCGGAAGTCAGCCACACCAATGTGTCAGAGGAAACACCGTCCAACTGAAGTCAGCTTGCAGGCGCCCGGCCCACCACAAGGAGTCGCTAGAGCACAATGAGACAAGGAAATCGCAACCGGCCAAACCCTCCCCTAACCCGGACGACGCTGGGCCAATTGTGCGCCACCTCATCACTCATTTTTACAGGAGCAATTAGGGTTAAGTGCTTTGCTCAAGGGCACATCGACAGATTTTTCACCTAGTCAGCTCGGGGATTAGAACCAGTGACCTTTCGGTTACTGGCACAACGCTCTTAACCACTGTGCTACCTGCCGCCCCACTCCAGAGAGTGTTTATAAAGTGAGGTTTTATTTGACATTGAAGTGAGGTTTTATTTGACATTGAAGTGAGGTTTGTCATGTTTTTCCATACCCTAGACCCCATTGGTTGATGGGAGTTGTATTTTTCTCTCCTCCTGCAGAATCTCATACTGCACAGCAGATAAAACTCAGGACAAGGTGTTTGCCTACGTTTCCCAGAGTCAGTTCAACGAGACACTTGAGTGCCACGCCTTCCTCTGCCACAAGAAGAAAATCGTAAGTGAGCAACAGTTTATATTTTCAAAAGACACTCATCTTACTGTCATCATTTAAAAGTTCTGTTTGATAGTAATGATCCTAGACACTGAATATCAGAAATAAGACCTTGAATAAATTAAGAAGTTTATTCACATGACTTCATAAGACACAATAGAAGACCAACCTCCCTTTCTTTAGATGTAGACTGCAGTAAAAATGCTGATGTGTGGCCCCATCTTGTGGTAACAGTGGGTAGTGCATGTATGATCATGTTTACTGTATATTTGCTTAAACTCTAACAGTATGGGCCAGTTTAACTATGGTAGACACCGCTCTGAATCAGGGCCAGTTTAACTATGGTAGACACCGCTCTGAAGATATAGTTCAGAGCCATGTGTCATTCCCTGAGGTTCTTTGAAGATGTAGCCAATCAGAGTGTGTTATTCTCTGAGGTTGTGTGAAGATGTAGCCAATCAGAGTGTGTTATTCCCTGAGGTTGTGTGAAGATGTAGCCAATCAGAGTGTGTTATTCTCTGAGGTTGTGTGATCTGTCATTGACAGGCTCAGGCTGTGACGCTAACAGTAGCCCAGGCCTTCAAAGTAGCTCTGGACCTGTGGGAGATTGCTCAGGAAGGTGAGTACTAAGTCTAACGTTAGCTCAGGAAGGTGAGTACTAACTCTAACGTTAGCTCAGGAAGGTGAGTACTAAGTCTAACGTTAGCTCAGGAAGGTGAGTACTAAGTCTAACGTTAGCTCAGGAAGGTGAGTACTAACTCTAACGTTAGCTCAGGAAGGTGAGTACTAACTCTAACGTTAGCTCAGGAAGGTGAGTACTAAGTCTAACGTTAGCTCAGGAAGGTGAGTACTAAGTCTAACGTTAGCTCAGGAAGGTGAGTACTAACTCTAACGTTAGCTCAGGAAGGTGAGTACTAAGTCTAACGTTAGCTCAGGAAGGTGAGTACTAAGTCTAACGTTAGCTCAGGAAGGTGAGTACTAAGTCTAACGTTAGCTCAGGAAGGTGAGTACTAACTCTAACGTTAGCTCAGGAAGGTGAGTACTAACTCTAACGTTAGCTCAGGAAGGTGAGTACTAACTCTAACGTTAGCTCAGGAAGGTGAGTACTAACTCTAACGTTAGCTCAGGAAGGTGAGTACTAACTCTAACGTTAGCTCAGGAAGGTGAGTACTAACTAACATTAGCTCAGGAAGGTGAGTACTAACTCTAACGTTAGCTCAGGAAGGTGAGTACTAACTCTAACGTTAGCTCAGGAAGGTGAGTACTAAGTCTAACGTTAGCTCAGGAAGGTGAGTACTAAGTCTAACGTTAGCTCAGGAAGGTGAGTACTAACTCTAACGTTAGCTCAGGAAGGTGAGTACTAAGTCTAACGTTAGCTCAGGAAGGTGAGTACTAACTCTAACGTTAGCTCAGGAAGGTGAGTACTAACTCTAACGTTAGCTCAGGAAGGTGAGTACTAAGTCTAACGTTAGCTCAGGAAGGTGAGTACTAACTCTAACGTTAGCTCAGGAAGGTGAGTACTAACTCTAACGTTAGCTCAGTAAGGTGAGTACTAACTCTAACGTTAGCTCAGGAAGGTCCGTACTAACTCTAACGTTAGCTCAGGAAGGTGAGTACTAACTTTAACATTAGGTCAGGAAGGTGAGTACTAACTCTAACGTTAGCTCAGGAAGGTGAGTACTAACTCTAACGTTAGCTCAGGAAGGTGAGTACTAACTCTAACGTTAGGTCAGGAAGGTGAGTACTAACTCTAACGTTAGGTCAGGAAGGTAGGTCATTAATGCTGTTAATGCTGTTGATCTAAGTGTGCAGAGATTCTTCCCTTTAAGGTCAGACACTCTTCTCTTCTCTTCTCTTCTCTTCACTTCTCCTCTCTGTCCTCAGATAAAAGTAAGAAGGCCAGGACGTGCTGCTCGTGTTCTGTCAGCGATGGACAGACAGAGAAGACAAACACACACTGTGTCTCAGGTAGGTCAACTTCCTGGTACTCTTCCTGTATGACCTTGACAGCTATTGTTACTGAAGCCTTTGCTGCTCAACTCTAGCACGGCAGGGAGTGTGCAGACGTAGAGCCCTCTGTAAGACACACTCACTGCGCTTGAGGTAAGTTATTTAGCTACTCTCTACTCCGCTGTCCTCCCGGTGCTCATGGCTTCAGGGGAGACAGCTTGAGATTCTGCTATAGTGGTGCAGGAACGCCTCGGGGGACTTGGCCTGATCACTACAGTTGAAAGTTTCAGGTCATTAAAATTCTACTGCTGTGATGGCCATGGCCCATGGGCTTTCATTGATCTACTCTGTCCTGTGACGCAGAGTCAAAGGGACAACAAAAGATGAGCCTCTTTCTCTCTCTCTACCTCTCTCTCTCTCTCTCTCTTTATCTCTACCTCTCCCCTCCCTACCTTTCTCTCTATCTCTCTCTCCTGTAACCTCCCTCCCTCCCTCCCTCCCTCCCTCACTCCTCCCCCCCCCCCGTCGCTCTCTGTCTTAGACTCAGAGAAGCACCAGCCCCTGGAGAAGGAAGAGAAACTGAGACGGCCATTCTTCTCCATGTCGTTCAGCTCGCCCCGCAACAAACCCGCCCGGAAACCACCAATCAAACATGACTCCTGGGTAGGTCGCGACCTTGGGTTCCAGGCCTCTGATTGGTCTAACCAGCCTAGTTATATAATATGATATTGTTTAGAGATAAAGGATGACAATGACATGAAGCCATTCAGGGGAAGGACTGGGACCAAATATCGGCCATGGCATTTCTAATACACCGGCCCCCATTATTAACCAGATAATGATAATTTTGCACAACAAACCCAAGTTAGACAGGCCCACTAGGCTACAAATGTACCAGCCCATCTGGCTCTTGCCAGAAATGCCATATGGCCAGTCCGCCCCTGTCCGCATTAGACATGGCCTCGATTATAATAGAGGTGGGTAACATAATCTTCACTACTACAGGCTTTAAGACAAGGGGGTTATTTTTGAAAGGTCCATATGCTATAACATTATTAAGGCGTAGAGGTCACCCCTAAGTACTAGTTTATGCTTCACAAATCCTAAACTTAACATCAAGTTACTGTGCCAGTAACCGAAAGGTCGCTGGTTCTAATCCCCGAGCCGACTAGGTGAAAAATCTGTCGATGTGCCCTTGAGCAAGGCACTTAACCCTAATTGCTCCTGTAAGTCGCTCTGGATAAGAGCGTCTGCTAAATGACATAAAAAATATAAAAAAATAAAAAATAATAATAGCTGACCCTGTATCAGTGGTAAGGTGCATGTTCTGCTTACTCCAAAACACGAGTGTTATGCAGCTGTGTTGACATATACTCACCACTAGGTGGCAGCCTTTTCCTTTGAATGTTAAATACTCATCCGATACATGTCCGACTGTTTGATGAGAGTAACCACATCTCATCAACTAGTCCATCGCAGCTACATTATAAAGTCTCTCTCTCTCTCTCTCTTTACCCCTCTCTCTTCACATCTCTTTCAATCAATTTTATTGAATATTCTTTATTGAAAGTTCCACCACGTATTCCTGTACCAGAGAATATGCTACTTTTTCCTCCACTGATTGGGGATGTCGAGAAATATATGAGAACCCAGAGGATGTATCTGAAATATGTCTCTTTTAGTTTTCTAAATTTGACCGTATGTCACAAACCAGTGCAATATTATTGACAAACTAATATTGATTTAAAATATTGTTATACAGATATACACTGAGTGTATCAAACATTAGAAACACCTTCCTAATATTGAGTTGCTCCCCCCTTTTTTCCCTCAAAACAGCCTCAATTCGTCGGGGCGTGGACTCTACAAGGTGTCGAAAGCGTTCCACAGGGGATGCTGGCCCATGTTGACTTCCCACAGTTGTGTGAAGTTGGCTGGATGTCCTTTGGGTGGTAGATCATTGTTGATACACACGGGAAACTATTGAGCGTGAAAAACCCAGCAGCGTTGCAGTTCTTGACACTAACTGGTGCGCCTGGCACCTACTACCATACCCCGTTCAAAGGCACTTAAATATTTTATATTGCCTATTCACCCTCTGAATGGCACACATACACAATTCATGTCTCAATTCATGACTTAAAAAATATTATTTAACCTGTCTCCTCCCTTTCATCTACACTGATTTAAAGTGGATTTAACAAGTGACATCAATAAGGGATCATAGCTTTCACCTGGATTCACCTGGTCAGTCTATGTCATGGAAAGAGCATGTGTTCTTAATGTTTTGTACACTCAGTGTAGATTGAAAACAGTGTAGAGCTGAAATACTGCTCTGCAGCTCTTGGTAATTCACTTAATCAAAAAAAAACATCACTGCACTATTTGATTGAAGCTGTGTTGGTGAAGCTATTTCACAATATGTTGCACTGAGGAGGTGTACACAGTAGAATTAATACTGGTACCGTATTTTGTTATTCCAATGTTACAGTTTGTAAGTTATATTGCCTGCACATTGATACATACTATAGTACATTTAGTATCATGGGGTTGTATTGATACATACTATAGTGGTGGTCCTCTGTAGCTCAGCTGGTAGAGCACGGCGCTTGTAACGCCCAGGGTAGTGGGTTCGATCCCCGGGACCACCCATACGTAAAAATGTATGCGCACATGACTGTAAGTCGCTTTGGATAAAAGCGTCTGCCAAATGGCTTATTCTTATTCTTATTCTTATTATTCTTATTATTATTATTATTATTATAGTACATTTAGTCTCATGGGGTTGTATTTGTTCCCTTTCTATTCACAGGAGGATGGCCTTGATTATGCGTTCTCAAGGTAATACTTACATTGTTTTACATTTTATTTTATCTCAGAAACTGTAAATCTAATTTCTATACTTAAGGTCACGTCTATCCACTAATAGTTTAATAAAGTAACTGTAGGTAAAGTATAGTAAAATAAAAATAAGTGTATGGACTGACTTGAGATCAGTTATAAATGTAGTGATGTATGGACTGACTTGAGATCAGTTATAAATGTAATGGTGTATGGACTGACTTGAGATCAGTTATAAATGTAGTGGTGTATGGACTGACTTGAGATCAGTTATAAATGTAGTGGTGTATGGACTGACTTGAGATCAGTTATAAATGTAGTGATGTATGGACTGAACTTGAGATCAGTTATAAATGTAGTGATGTATGGACTGACTTGAGATCAGTTATAAATGTAGTGATGTATGGACTGACTTGAGATCAGTTATAAATGTAGTGATGTATGGACTGACTTGAGATCAGTTGTATCTGCATTTAAAGAAATTACCCGGTAAGAAAATAACCAGATATGAAAAAATAAAGCTGAATACAAGTCCAGGGTATATTTCCCTGGCTCTCTCCATTTAGGCAGAGCTCTTTAACCTAAATGACTGCAATTAACATGTTTTAAGCCCCAACCTAAGACTGCATTTAAAGACAGATTTCTGGGTGGAAAATTCCAGATCACTTTCCCGCCAAACAAACTGTTTTCGGGAGTTATCAATGGCGTATTAACTCATACACGGCTTTGGCACACCCTGCGTGAACGTTGGGAAACTAACGGGTTGGTGTTCAGACGACATGAACGGGTCTGGAAACCCGGCGTGATCGGGTTGAGTATTCAGGAAAACGTACCTGGGAACAGCGTCTCTCAGGTTTCCTGACAACGTGCACTGCAGGGTGTGTGTACTAGGTGATAAAAATGCTAGCTAGAAAATGCGAGCTAATATTATTGCTAATTTGCTACCCCAGCTGCAGTAGGCTACACTAAAACAATTTTTAGGCTGGTTTACAAAAGATACCGTTACTGTACAATGCTACCTTTTCAAAACATCCAATTTCACTTTCACGTTATACATTCAGAACAAAAACGTGTTAACTTGTTCAACTCCGACCGGTTGTTTTTTTGGGTCCTGACATTTCTGACAAAATGTTTTTTTTTTTGTCTGAAAATAGAAAGTGACATATCATTTCAAAACTACAGCCTTTGTCTGTTTGGAAATGTAACTCAAATCTTACTGCTGGCAATGTCATCCCGCCTGCACCCTCCTAAATATCTGTCCCTCTCTCTGTCTCTGTCTCTGTCCCTCTCTCTGTCCCTGTCCCTCTCTCTGTCTCTGTCTCTCTCTCTGTCCCTGTCCCTCTCTCTGTCTCTGTCTCTCTCTGTCCCTGTTCCTCTCTCTGTCCCTGTTTCTCTCTCTGTCCCTGTTTCTCTCTCTGTCCCTGTCCCTCTCTCTGTCTCTGTCCCTCTCTCTGTCTCTGTCCCTCTCTCTGACCCTGTCCCTCTCTCTGTCCCTGTCCCTCTCTCTGTCTCTGTTCTTCTCTCTGTCCCTGTTCCTCTCTCTGTCCCTGTTTCTCTCTCTGTCCCTGTTCCTCTCTCTGTCTCTGTCCCTCTCTCTGTCCCTGTCCCTCTCTCTGTCCCTGTCCCTCTCTCTGTCTCTGTCCCTCTCTCTGTCCCTGTCCCTCTCTCTGTCCCTGTCCCTCTCTCTGTCCCTGTCCCTCTCTCTGTCTCTGTCTCTGTCCCTGTTCCTCTCTCTGTCTCTGTCCCTCTCTCTGTCTCTGTCCCTCTCTCTGTCTCTGTCTCTGTCCCTCTCTCTGTCCCTGTTCCTCTCTCTGTCTCTGTCCCTCTCTCTGTCTCTGTCCCTCTCTCTGTCCCTGTCTGCAAGAGGGCTCGTTAGGATGGAAGGGGGCAGTAGGGGGGTACGGGGGGCGACCCCTGTAATAGGGGTCTTGAATCAAATCAAATCAAATGTTATTTGTCACATGCGCCGAATACAACAGGTGTAGACCTTACAGTGAAATGCTTACTTACAAGCCCTTAATCAACAATGCAGTTGTAAGAAAAATAAGTGTAAATAACAAAATATATAAAATAATAATTAAAGAGCAGCAGTAAAATAACAGTAGCGAGGCTATGTACAGGGGGGTACCGGTACAGAGGCAATGTGTTAGTCGATGTAATAACAGTAGGGAGGCTATATACAGGGGGGTACCGGTACAGAGGCAATGTGTTAGTCGATGTAATAACAGTAGGGAGGCTATATACAGGGGGGTACTGGTACAGAGTCAATGTGCGGGGGCACCGGTTAGTCAAGGTAATTGAGGTAATATGCACATGTGGGTAGAGTTAAAGTGACTGTGCATAGATAATAAACAGAGAGTAGCAGCAGCGTAAAAGAGGAGGTGGGTTGGGGGGAGGACAATGCAAATAGTCCGGGTAGCCATTTGATTAGCTGTTCAGGAGTCTTATGGCTTGGGGGTAGAAGCTGTTAAGAAGCCTTTTGGACCTAGACTTGGCACTCCGGTACCTCTTGCCGTGCGGTAGCAAAGAGAACGGTCTATGACCATTTTTAGGGCCTTCCTCTGACACCGCCTGGTATAGAGGTCCTGGATGGCAGGAAGTTTGGCCCCAGTGATGTACTGGGCCGTACGCACTACCCTCTGTAGTGCCTTCCGGTCGGAGGCCGAGCAGTTGCCATACCAGGCAGTGATGCAACCAGTCAGGATGCTCTCGATGGTGCAGCTGTATAACTTTTTGAGGATCTGAGGACCCATGCCAAATCTTTTCAGTCTCCTGAGGGGGAATAGGCTTTGTCATGCCCTCTTCACGACTGTCTTGGTGTGTTTGGACCATGATAGTTTGTTGGTGATGTGGACACCAAGGAACTTGAAGCTCTCAACCTGCTC